AAAAAAAAAAAAAAAAAAAAAAAGAAAGAAAAGAAAACCACACAAAGACTACAATTCCCGGCGTGCTTTGGGACGCACGTGATTATTCGCCACTAGAACTACATCTCCCAGAATGCCTTGGTCCTGGGGCGTCTTGCTGCTCAGAACTGCTTCTCCTCGCAGGCAGGCCGTGGGAGTGGAGGGCCACTCTGCCTTCCCTGGTGTCCCCGACTCCATCGCCCTTCCTGGAGGATGGAGGCGTCTCGGGGAGCCGGCTTCCAGGACCCCGGCGAGATGTTGCCTCTCAAGCCGTGTCTCCTGCGCCGCAACCACAGCCTGGACCAGCACGGAGTGGCGGCCTCCTGCCTGGAGGAGCTGAGGAGCAAAGGTTGGCTCGGAGGGGACTGGTGGGTTCCAGAAGGTGACCCGGGGAGCCCAGCCTGCCCACGTGGGTGCCGGCATTGACAGGGTCCAGGGACCCGAAACTCAGTGCAGATCCAGGCCGGCGAGGCTGATGCGCCGCCTGCCACCTTCGAGACCCTACCGAGTCTGCGGTCTTAGCACCCCGGCTCCCCAAGGTGGAAGAGGGGTCCTCATGTAGCCCACGGCGGGGTCGGGGCGGGGGGTCCACGGTTCTCCATAAAAAGGGAGCTGCCAGTGACTGTCCCTGTAGGATCCGGATAAGGAACGTGAGCTGTCCCAAGTTCTGAGCCTGGCTCCATACTGCTTGACTTTGCATTTAACCATTTTTGGACTCTTACTAGTTTTCCTATCAGCAAAGTGGGTATATGTCCAGCCGTACTTCAAAGGTTCTTGGGACTCTCTTTTTTTGTTTTTGTTTTTTTAAATATTTTATTATTTTTATGTGTATGAGTATATTGCCTGCATATACTGTAAGTGCACCCGTGTCGTGCAGTGACCGTGGAGGACAGAAGAGGCGGTCGGATCCTCTGGAACTGGAGTTACAGACAGTTGTTAGCTGCTATGTGGGTGCTGGGATTCGAACCCGGGTCTTCTACAAGAATAATCAGTGTTCTTAATCACTGAGCCATCTCTCCAGCCCTTCTTTTGGTTTTTTGAGACAGGGTTTTACTGTGTAGCCCTGGCTGAACTGGAACTCGCTACTAAGTAGACCAGGTTGGCCTCCAGCTCACAGAGATCCACTTCGTCTTCCCAGTGCTAGGTTTAAAGGCCTGTGTCACCCCACCCAGCCCTGATGGCTGAGATTCTCAAATGAGATATTATTAAATGACTTACAGATACTAGCCCATAGCAATAAATTATGTATCCAAAGACGTTCTGCAGCTCTTACCCTGAGCCAGCCCTAGGGACATAGTCACAGTGTGTATTTGAGTGTAGAGTGCAAAACAGGGATTTTGACAAATGTTTGCATTTTTCCCCGGCACAAGGCTACTTCAGTTTTAGTATCAACCTCAGTGGATTGGCTGTGTGTCCTTGGTGCAGAGGCCTGTATTCTGTGATGCTGGGCCTATAGGAGGCTGACAGTTCTATTTTGGGTGATGAGAAGGTAGTGGAAAGCCTCCTATCTGGCAGTCATAAAGGTGAGAAGATACAGACATCTCCGTTTCCCTTTGGACTCAATCCTGTAAAGGAGAGACTACAAAGAGCAAAAGCCTCTTTCTTACCTTTCTCTTTTGACATTTGGTATGTAGAAGAATTTAAGGTGACCACTGAATAACAGTAAAAGACTGTTTTGTTTTTTTTAATTTAATAACCACATACTTACAAGAAGCATTTCATTACAACAGCATTGACATATTCAATAACAATTTTCTGAGCTAAGATGCATCTCTTTCAAAAT